TATTGGACTAAAACATTATACCTACTTGCGATTTTCAAATCCAAATAGAACTAAAAGGATAAAACAACAATTAAAATACATAGATTTTACTTACCTAGAATTTTCAATGTGAAATGGAACTAAAACATTAAGAACAATAATGTTAATAAAGAAAATTATATTTACCTACGATTTTCAATTTTCTTTTCTATCCAACTAAAAGACTGAAAAAAAAACAATAAGCATATGTAAAAAGTAATGCTTGCACTTGATCGAATCGTTTCAAAAAAGCTAAATCAAAAGCGGTTGATTCAAAAAAAAAATAATTGCATACAATCTTTTAACTTATTGATGAGTTTCTTCCAGATTTATGAATAAATACTTACATTTTTTTATAGAACCCTCACCTACATAGAACAAAGTTTCATTTCGTTTTTCAGGCTGATCTAATTAACGGAGAATGATAATCTTTTAATCTGAGATTACAAACTATTGCAACAAAGAGAGAGCTAAAGTTATTCTCTTTTTCATTAATCTTTGTTTCTATTGTAACAATTTCCAATCTAATCACAAAAATACTTGATGAATATTGTCATCAACCAGAAAAGTCAACATCATTTTGATATATATATATATATATATATACATATGACCTGCCTGATTTCAACTTTTTTAGCGGAAGAAACAATTTTATGAAAGGGTACAATAATAAACCCTTTAATGCAAGTGTATAATAATAAAATCTTCACCGTAGAATAATAAATCCTTCATCATAGATTCACAAACCCTTCCCATTAAATTCTGGTACAATAAACTCTTTTTATTTTCAAATACCCTTTGTTTCATAAACGCTTCAGGCAATAAACGGTTTTAGAGTTTTGGACGAAAACATAAACACTTTAAGGGTTTATGAAATGTTTTTCTTAGTACTAGGGTTTAGTATTCTACGATTGTTTTTACAGTGCAACTGCTCTCTAGAAATCAACTTCAATATGTTTCACATTTGATCATGCAAGGATTATGTTAGCAGTTGCTGTACTGATGTCGATCCAATTATTTTTTATCGAAATGAAAAGTACGCCGATACCAATGGCGTAGCCAGAATTCTCTGAGTGATGAGCCGCTTCCCAGTTAAATTAGTTTGAGACATGGGCGGTATTGGACAATTTGAAATCAATTGGGCCGCAACTGGAGGTTGTCAAAAGTGTATTGATACCTCCAAATCTATGTTTTTTCAGGAAGTGTGCCACTTTCAGATTAGAGATGACCCTGTTTGCTAATGTTCTCTTTTTCATAAAATAATTCTTTATTTCCAAATAACTATCTATTTATTTCAACAGTAAAAATCCTGATTAATCATAAACAGAACGAAAAGAACATCAACTCACTTTATCATCTCTCACCATATCATGGTGACTGCTGCTCTATATTTTATTCCTAGCTAGTCCTTTTGAGCCTTGTAAGTTTTTTTAACGACTGATATTTTTAGTTATCAGTACATCCTCTGAACTATATATTATCATTCCATTACTATTACTAGTAATTACTAAGTGAAGTTTTCAAACGGCACTCATTAACATCTTCTTTTGCGAATTGGAATTTTTATTAATCGAATTGTGAAAGTATTGTCCACACTTATACTGTTCAAGTATTCGGTTTAAGCTATGTCTGTCGTTTGTGTTCGAAATAATTCTATGTTCTCTCGAAAGATTCATAAATATGCACTTATATCTTTATTAACAATTTTAAGTGAAGGTATAAGTTTCTTTCAGGTTAAAATACGATGGAATTATCATTATTTTGATTATTGCTTCGCTGGATAATATTTTCAATTGATTTTTCTCGATCATTTGAATATATTTCAATAGAAATCATTGTTAAAATAACATCATCTAAGTTTTTAACCATGCATGTATGTCAATATTTTTTGGTGTAGGGCAGTTGCTTATGTTTGAAAAATTTATTGGGTAATAACTTTTTAACTATTGGGCAATTGTCCAGTGACCACCCCTGGCTACGCCACTGATCAATACATTCAGATTTAACTAGATTGCAAGAAATTGTTTAAAGGAATGATTTCCTATTGTGAACCATTTTTTATTCAAATGTGAAAATATTTTGGTGATTGTGATGCTGAAGAACAGAGTACTAATTAAGGATGGCATTTTAACTTTAAAACACCTTAATTAAAGTGTTAAAGTTAAAGTGAATTTTATTTTTTATGCCGATAAATACCGGGACTGGTTGATGGATGCTCGTTAGAACTTCTGTAACCTATAAAACGGCAAAAAATTAAAAAAATAAAGTAGTTCCAAGCGGCTTTAAATTGCTTTATTTTTCATTTTTTGTCGTCTTATAGGTTGCAGAGTTTCAAGTGAGCATCAATCAACCAGCCCGGGCAGTTATTAGCATAAAAACAAAATTCACTTTAACTTCAAAAAAGTAAAGTTAAAGTAAATCACAATGGAAATTTGTACATAATTGTTCAACACAACATTACTGTAAAATGTTTAGTTGATAAAAAGCAGACTTTTTGGATGTCAACAAAAACAGTTAAAATGGTGATGAAATAAAAAATCAAGTCTAATAAGTGTGTTAAGTTGTGTTTATTAACGCATTTCTTAAAGATGCTTTTAGTCGTTTGAAGCATTCATGCATCGGTAGTCAAAATTCAACGTTAACAGGAACTGTAGGTGCTAAAATGAGGAATGAGATCAAATTGAAAGATAAAATCTAGTGATATTTCTACATTTTGACAATATGAAACCGATCAAAGCATGCCCGAAGTACAGAATAGCAAAAGGATGTGTAAAGAGCACATTCTAAATACTTTAAGTATTCAGTATGAATCTGTGAAAATGTTTTTGACCGTTTTCTATAATGATATCGTTTTCAACCTCATAATTTTATTCATAGAGTACCTGCTAGGATTTTGTTATAAATATTTGTTTATTTAATTTATAACGAAAGTAACAAAAAATACGAAAGCGGTAATCGACGATAACGATAACGATAAATAAATGAACAACATTGGCGCTCCGCTTGACACGGAGACGACTCGATAACTTCACACCCTTCTCTTCTCTTTTTTCTCTTCTGTATATACTAGATTATCGATCTATATTAATGTATACTTCGAAGACGAATCAAATAGAAAGAGACAAAGGAAAGTAGCATAGAGGCTATTGGGACGATAGACACCGTCCCATAACAGTACCATTCGGTGAAAAATAAAAAATAAAATTATTTCGTCACCAGATCAATTCAATCAAATTCTTTTTTCTAGTAATAACTGTATTTTAACAGTTTGTTGTCCTAAGAAACGTTAATTTTTTATATAAAAACCATGTACCTCAACTATATTGTAATTAAAATCTGATGTTCACTATGTAGGAGCATTGATATGACCAATCAGCTTTTAGATAATATCCAAACAAGTCATTGTATGTGGTTTTTTGTTCAAAAATATCTAAACCAAAACCTGAAATAGATACTCGATAAAATACTTTTCTAGATGTGATTGTAAATTAAAGAACTTGAATGGCTGAAACTCACAAATGAGTTCGAATAATAAATGTATTACAAGACTCAATTTTAAATTTTTATCAGTTTACAGCATTTTGATTTTAGACCATGAATTAGAATTTATAAACTTACATTGTATTGTAATGATATGAATGATTAACAATTTCAAAAGAGCCAGATACGGAGTAAAACTATCAAGAACAAGTTTCTGTAATAATGTGTAAGCACGGGAGTACTTTCATCTAATAGCATATATTGGTTTTAAGTGTAGATGATGCATTGATACTTTGGAGAATGTACGAAAATTTTAAGGTCAACAACTTTTATTAGAAGTCTGTAGTAAAACAGTCTGATCTTTAATCAAATCCAGACTCGTAATTAGAAAACAATGCTGTTACAATAAAAAAACGGTAAATTCAATAAATTCAGTGACGTCATTTCCTTGATTAACAAAAACGTACGTACGCATTAGTTCAGACTAATATTCCTATTTCTATGTAATTACTGTATGTGGAATCAATTCTCCAATCACTCATCGTCAGAATTTCAAATATTTACGAAATACTAAATTTTTTCGGTGATAGTAATTCAGCGTGTTTTGTTTTAAAAATTGAAGCTTGAATTTAAATAATGCAACCTGTAGAAGGTAGAATTTCATCGCTGCATTTCTATAGGAATTCGTAGAATATCTTTTTCTATTCTCTATAACTTATTTCATATTTTACAGTATTACTTTATATCAAAAACGAGACAAGATAGTCTTATCTAAGTTTGTCACATTGGATTTAAAGGCTGAGGAGTAGTCCATTCACGAATATTGGCGTAGTTATGATCGTTGCCGTAAACATATGCCTTTTATCTGTCAAGCATTACAATCACATTGGATTTATAGTTGAAAGTGTGATCGCTGAAGTAGATGATTTTCATCTTTACTGAAAACTAAACATTAGAAACCAAGACTTTATCTTTCTTGCAAAACAATTTGTGCCACATACTGTTTTTTTTTCGCTTTTACAGGAATGATGTTAACAAGATCGTCGATCAAGTGGTAAGTATCTGTGGTCAAATTCAATTCGCTAGTAATGATCGAGTGTCTGAGGTAGTATTGTTTCTTAGTACTATAAAGTGCACCAATAAAGCCTTTTGCATTATTGATGTAGTATATTCAGTGTCAGTTTGACGCGCAGATATCTAATGAAGTTATATCTAATGGAGTTTCCGGAGACAACCAACGTATATCCAGCTCACAAATACCAGAATTCCCGATTGAGATTAATGCACAGCAACCAAGGCCTACATTACTTCGGCATCATTCATTGAATGAAAAGGATAAAAGCGCTGTTGAGAACAAACAAGCTACACACAATCAACTAGCAGTACAAAATACCAATATTCATATTCATGACTTTTTGGATAGGTTCTTCGCTAATATTAATTGTGCAAGAGATAATAAAAAATAATCATTGTTTTGTAGCGCAAAACCTTCAACAAACAGAATGCGCGAAGATAATGATGACTCTTCTGAAAACTTGAACGAGACTGATGATGAGATAGCAGAATCAGAAAAAGAAGTTGAAGAATCACAAGCAACTAAAATAGTCAATTTTATTCGGAACAAATGGAAATTACCAGTGCCTGAGCTGATCATTTCAATAACAGGCGGCGCGCAGCATTTTAAATTTGCATCACCAAGAGTTCGCAATGCCTTCCAAAAAGGTTTGATATCAGCAGCGATGAACACCGGTTAGATTTTGAGATGTTATCAACCATAATTCTATATTTTGTTTGATATTTTAGATGCATGGATTTTCACTGCTGGAACTCATTCCGGAATAATAAAAGAAGTAGGTGATGCATTTGATAAATGTCGGTATAAGAATGCGAATGCGTTCTTGAAACTCCCTTGTATCGGAATATGCAGTTGGTTTGCAACAACAGGTATTTAAGGTTGTAGATATGTAACTGATTGTGGAACTAAACAGTGATGCAATTTAGATTACAAACAATTAGAAAGTCCGTCCACCTATTCTGAAGAGGATAAATCAAAAATTTCTGAACAAGTAACATTAATTTCACTTGTAACATGGTAAATATCTTATTTCCCATTATTTACAGCCGAATACTATCGACAAAGTCAATATTGAGAAATCTTCCGAACGAAGCGAACAAAATGTACGCTTATATAGAGTACGACAGCCACCAGAAAAGGGGGAACCTGAATCATATCCTCTTGACCATAACCATACACATTTTATCATTTTACAAGATGAATTTGGAGAAGGAGATAGAAAATGGAAATCTAAGTTCAAAGAGAATGTTCGTGCTGATTTAATATTACCTATCCGTGCACAAATCGAGCAAGAATCACGTACCATAAAACGACAAGGACAGAGTAATTTTAATATATTACTTATGTGCGATGACTGATGTTCTCTTTATTGCAGAATATAAAATTCCGATTGTGCAAATACTAGTAGACGGTGGTGTTTCATCAATTTTAACTGTATGTGAATCTATTGCAGCTGGAACACCGGTCATTGTCATTGCAGTTAGATATTTCACATATGATTGTAATTTTAAAGTTTTTACATCACTTCTAGGGTTCTGGACGAGCCGCAGACCTGATAGCAAATGAATATAGGTTTTTATATAAACAAAAGATAAGATCAAAAGAATGCTATGAAAAAATTCTCAACGACAAAGAAACTTTCCAAAAATTGTAAAAATAAACTAGCTTTTTCAGAACGCTGACACAATCACTTCTTTTCTCATTTAGTAATAAGAAGAAAATGTTTGGACAGAATTCTACCGAAACTATCATTACAGACACCAATAGAGAGGAATTTATTAAAACGATGACATCTGAAAAAGGCTATTTTCTATTGAACATATTGGAATTAGATGTTAGACGGTGGGAGTTGAAGTTCGATGATGCAATACTGGAGGCTCAATTGAATGGTAGGAGTGGTATCTGAATTCTGCTTAAAGAGTAATATATTGTGCAATTTCTAAACTTAGCGGCATTAATGACTGATAGTGAACAGAGACAAAAGTCAAAGAAACTAGTATTGGCCATGGCATGGAAAAAATACGATCTGGTGGCTCACGATGTAATCAAAAATCTGATGGAGTCCGACAACGCGGTAAGATAAATTCACGGTGTGGCGGAAACAAAACACCGAAAAAGGTTTTTAATGTAAATATAATTCCTAAAGATTCTTAGATTTCTGCCATCAAGGCTCATAGCTGGGCTCAGTCTGTAGTATCTCGTTCAGACGACTCAGATGTGCTCTGGGTTGCTTTGGGTGTGGGTGTGGGTGTGGGTGTTGGTGTGGGTGGGCGGATGTTATAGTAATTAACACCCCCCCCCACCCCCCCC